AGCGGGTGCGCTTGAACGGGTGTGCTTACCAGTTGGTGGGCTTGGATACAGTTCTGAGCGGGTGCACTTGAACGGGTGTGCTTACCAGTTGGTGGTCTTGGATACAGTTCTACGCGGGCGCACTTGAACAGGTGTGCTTACCAGTTGGCAGCTTTTGGCAGGTGTGCTTACCAGCTGGCAGCTTTTGCAACAAAACGGCCAGGGTGGGTTTGCCCGTGATTTTCAAGTCGCGCGCGCGATGTTTGTAAAAACGATGGCCGACGTTCGACTAAGAACATCTTGCTGACATGAAGATGCCAAACAAAAGCGCAGTCATTATCTGCGAAGAAATGCACATGCCCAATGATATGTGGAATATTGGCTGCGTTTTACAGCACGTCGCGCACCCATCTGCCGCGGTATGTGCCAAGGCATCGTGTGTCACAAGGCTGCAACGCACTGATGACAAGACAACGAACACAGGTATAGTTTCGACTCTGCCGACAGCCAAATGTCCTGGTAAAAATGGGACGAACTGGAAGTCACATGTCCGACGTGCTGCGTTTTACAGTATGTTGCGCTGCTGAAATCCCGGGCAAACCCCCCCCGTTGAGCCAACAACAACAACAACAACAACAACAACAACAACAACAACAACAACAACAACAACAACAACAACAACAACAACAACAACAACAACAACAACAACAACAACAACAACAACAACAACAACAACAACAACAACAACAACAACAACAACAACAACAACAACAACAACAACAACAACAACAACAACAACAACAACAACATGGTGGTTGACCTTCTCTTCCTCCTCGATTTCGAAAAAACAACTATCAGCATAAACCCCAGATACCAGTCCCAGCGACTCCTAGTAACCTGTATAGCTAGTAACTGGCCGTTGGCGACTGTTTTTTTGGGAACCAGGCTTGGTTCCCAAAACAGTGGGAACCAGATTCCTGTCTAACGGTTTTAACGGTTCCGGGCCTCTTTTTCACGGTTCCGGGCCTCTTTTTCACGGTTCCGGGCCTTTTTTTCACGGTTCCGGGCCCCAATTTCACGGTTCCAGGCCCTTTTTTTGTGGTTCCTGGAACCAGCGGTCAGTTACCAATATGGCAGGTAACCAAGCTGGTTCCGCACATGGAGGTAACTGGAAGCACTGGGAGTGCTTGCACACCAGCACCTCCAAAAAGCACCCCCCGAAGAACGCCCCAAGCAAAACCCGGCCGTCAATCGAGCAAAAATGCGCCCACACCATCACCCTGAAGAGCACCCCAAACAACACCCCGACCAGCCGTCAATCTTGCGAAAATCAACCGGCAAGCTGCATGCCCCCCTTGCACCCTACCGTCAAGATGCAAACATGCGCCTGCACCGTCACCAGCACCTTAAACAGCTCCCCACAAACTGCGCCCCATAGCACCATCAGCACCAGCACCCCAAACTGCATTCCCCACTCCGTCCTACCGTCAAGATGCAAAAATACGCGCGCACCGTCAACCCCCAAAACAGCACCTGCACAATCACCCCAAACTGCATGCCCCTAGCACCCTTCCGTCAATCTTGAAAAGATGCGCCACTGCCATCTGCACCTCAAACAGCACCCCAATCAGCACCTACACCAGCACCCCAAACTGCACGCCCCCTAGCACCAGCCCATCAATCTCGCAAATCACTTTCCCCTCTTTATTAGAAGTTAGAACCCCTTCAGCTTTCAGCTCTCTGGCGAAAAAACACAAACACACACACACACACACCCACCCTTGGTCCGAAACCCGGGCCGAGCTTTCCACGCACCGCGCCTTATGGAGCCGAACTGCCTTGGCGCCCAGGAATCGAGAGCGCTGGTCGCTCAGGGTGCCGGTGACCTGCGGAAAAAAAAACCGGCGAGGGATATGTCTGAAGCTCTAGGTGTACCTTCCCCATTCTTTCCAGGGATCCTTCTTTTCAGGAAACCAAAATCTCAGGGGAAACCTAGAATGGTTGCAAAGAATGGGGAATCAACCCCTAGACAAGTGGGGTAAGAACCATGGTTTTCTGGGCTGCCTGATTTCTAATCCCCCGCGAAAAGTTGTTTTTAACTTTTAGTGGGTTAGATGGAAACTACCACTAAACACTAAAAAGCTAAAAGGCTAAGGAACCGGATGGCTGGGAGCCACCAAGATATAACCCACAAAAGCCATGGTTATAAGTCTCACCAGTCTCCGAAGTGCAGACAAAAACCTGCCGAGCGGCCGAGCCCACCGCATCTGGGGATCTGCCAACAAAACTCCATAAGATGTCCGTTTGCCGCCGAACCCACGGGTTTTGCAGGTTCCTACTTGGATGTTCGTTGCCAACGTCAGGTAAGTAGGTTAAAACCGTGGTTATAACCAGGGTAACTGGGGTTGGTCCCCTTACCATGGTTATTGCCTACTTCTCTAGTCGTTGCTTGAACATTGTGGTCCGCTTATATATATATATATATGTGGTTATTGCCACCTTCCCTGACGTTGGCAACTAACATCCAAGTGGATCTGGGGGGTTGTGGAATCCCACCCGGCCCGTGGATCCATTTGCCTGTGTCAACCAAGGAAACCACGAATGATAAACAAAAAGGACATAGCGAATGGTTCTATGGGTAACTGGGATCGATCCACTGGGCCAGAAGCTAAGGCCTAAGGGGCATGAAAATCCCATTTCTGTTTTCAAAACATAGCCCTGGATCCAAGGGGTATGAACAAGGTATGACAAACCTCAATGTTGTCTATGGGTGCTTGATGGTGTCCAAAGATTCGGTGTGGAAAGCATGGGTCGGGAAACTGCTCCAGTCGAACTATGAACTGACTGAAGGAACTGTCCAAGGGACCTTCATCTCATGCCTGGGACATGGAAAGTTCCTCTGGACCCTGATGGGAAGACTCACCGAATCCAAACCACCAATTGGGGATTCGTAAAGGGATTCGGACCAAGCTTCTTTTGTTTTGCCTGGGTTCCCTAACCAAGTTGAACAAGGGGCGGCCTGGGGCTGAGCACAAAAGGGCCATCGACTCCGCTCCTTGGTCCAAGCGACTCCGCTCCAAGCGGAGGAGATTGGAACCCAAGGGGATCAACCCCAGTTACCCTACCAGTCAATGACCCCATTTTGGACAATGACCAACCATTTAGGCACAACCACGGTTATATATAAGCTGCTTACCAAGTTGGCCACGAACACAAAAGGAAAACCGAAGCCATGCTCGGAGGTCCTTTGACGGTGTGTCTCAAACAAAAACGGAACCGGACCTTTCAAATTGGCTTTTGGTTTACGTTTAAAACCAGCCAAACAGGGGTTCCTCCTAAAAAAGACACACCCACATACCCAGCGGATCCATTTACCTGTATAGGCAACCAAGGGAACCACCAGAAGGACAATAGGAAAGGCTTACCTACTATAAGGGTTTCTCGGTTGCTTTCTGCCCCCCTCTAAAAGTTTTGGAAAACCCATTCGTTGGCAAAAAAATACAGTCCTAACATCCAAGTAAAATGCACCAAAGCGGGATTGCCTCCGGGATTTTCGAACAAGGGGCTTGAACCCGCTCGACGCTCGACGCTCCCATGATTCGAGGCCCCCCGCAAAGTCCACCACCGATCGGATGAGGATGCCGCTACCTGCGGCAAGACGTTTGTTCCCACGGTATGGTGTCTCTTCCTTTTGAAAAAATGTAAGGGCCCCCCCCAAGAAAGGAAGATTGTTCTGTTGATCTCCGTTCCAACATTTGCCGCGGTTGCTCCAAACAGCACACCCGCGTTTTGCCGTCAACAGGTGGCGATTTCACGCCAAGGCTGTGCTTCGAACCCCCAACCGTCTGAAAATTTCTGCCTGGACCCCCAATGGAGACCTTGTTTCTGCTCTTGATCCACAAAAACGGGGGCGGGTGGGGGTTGATTCCAACCACTCTCCTCAACCATCAATTTTCTTGGAAGCCAGTTAGCTGTTTCTCCTGGGTTTCTGATGGTTTCCTGAAAAGAAGGATCCCTGGAAAAAATGGGGGGTAATGACCCCATCATTTTGGGGTATGACCCTTGAATTGTTGGTTATGACCCCATAATGTTGGGTAATGACCCCATAATTTTGGGTTGTGACCCCAATTTTTATGGTAATGACCCCATAATTTTGGGTTATGGCCACAAAATTTTGGGTAATGACCCCATAATTTTGGGTTGTGACCCCAAATTTTTTGGTAATGACCCCATAATTTTGGGTTATGGCCACAAAATTTTGGGTAATGACCCCATAATTTTGGGTTATGCCCCCTGAATTGTGGGTTATGACCCCACAATTTTGGGTAATGACCCCATAATTTTGGGTTATGACCCCATAATTTTGGGTTATGACCCCATAATTTTGGGTTATGACCCCAAAATGTTGGGTAATGACCGCATAATTTTGGGTTATGACCCCTGAATTTTGGTTTATGATCCCTTGGGTTATGACCCAATAATTTTGGGTAATGACCCCTGAATTTTTGGTTATGACCCCTGAATTTTGGGTTATGACCCCATAATTTTGGGTAACCCCATTTTGAAAGGGTCATGGAGATTATGACCCCTTAATTTTGGGTAATGACCCTTGAAAGGGTCATGGAGACTCCAGGTATCCACAAAAAGCAACCCCGAATCATTTTGCGGCATCTATCCCTGGCTTATCCCACCCTTATCCTCACTTGAGGGCACATCGTCGATGGGGGGGCGATGGGGGGCTGGCCGAAGCCCTTCGAGCAAAGCGAGTGAAACGGCTTGCTGACCGCGTGAGTGGAGTTGTTCGGGGTTCATGGCTTTTTAGGCAGGTTGCCAACCCCTCGTTGAACCATCCTGGACCCCCAAAGGAGCGATTCCTTTTGTCTGCCTTTGTACCACTTTGTCTTTTTTTGTGGGAAGGCCAAAAAAGGTCCATTTGGGGGGCCAGGAGGTTTAAACCAGTCTTGCTCAAACATGCTTGCGCGACACGTGCTTCAACCTATTCACACCACTGTCAAATTGTT